AATTCACCGATAAAATATAAAACTGATCTGTAGAATTATCAAAAAACAAAACTATAATCACATGTACATTTCGTCTTACGTAACGGAGGGTTTTGGACACAGTTATAGACGTTAAAAATTGCTTTATAGAGCCACCATGGCTACAGAAATATCACATTTTGCAGGAGAAGGAGAGGATCCCTGGACACAAAGACAATTTTGATTCTTTCTTCGGAGAGCCTCCCTTGACAAGGTCTATAGCCACCACTGGATCGAGGCAAATAAAATTAATGATAGCTTTGTTTATTAAATTTGACTTGTCGATAACTTAAAACTAGACTTTCCATTCCAATGTTGTACTGTAGCCAATTTTAGAATAAAAATGTACGTAATTGAATTGAGAACATCATAGAGAAGTACAGAGGAAACGGAAGAAACTTGCTTATGGGACGTCCTAGCGCTTTCAGCTCTAATGTTGTGCCAGTATTGCACAACATTATTATTGCATTTATTATTGTAAGGGGACAAGCAAAAAAGAGCCGGAGCGGCAAGCACTGTGCAGAAATTCCTATAGCACAGACAGGACCACTGAGTCCTCCTTCCACCATGAGCTTTGTAGTAGGCTACATGAGGGGGAGGGTTTGACTTTGTCTTAGACACCAGCAGTGCCAGTGGCTAGTGCTAGACACCACTTAAGTGTAACCATTGAATGTTTCCTCTGTACCTTTACTTCGTGGCCACATACAGAATCCTGATGTAAAAATTACTCACTTCCCTTATTTTCTTAAATTTTCATTATGCACTTCAAAATCCAATTCACTTAATAACCACCCATTTTGTTTGTGAGTAACTATCACCACTGATTTAAGAGTAAACTCTTTAATCTGTGCTATCACTCAGTTTTTTATTATATTTTTAAGAAGGGCTAATGTTTAGCACACCATTTGGAAAACGTTTATTAACCTATTGCAATTTTAACGGTTACTCAAAACTTGTTTTAAAGGAGAAAGAAAGCACAAGACTTAAGGTAATCCATTATCATATTTCATTGCTTCTGAAGCGTCAGAGTATCTGGCAGTTTCTCCCCGATTCCACCCATAGAGAGCAGATGAAGCAAGAAACAATTTCTCAATCAACGGACAGACAATGTGCGTAAACATGGCCTGTTGCCACAAGCATGGGAGTCTACACTCAGGTTAGATACTTAATGCTTTGGCCTCTGGCCACTGATAGTCTGGACTTAGGCCAGGCCGGCCTCCATTGTGTTCAATGGGAAACAATGCTCAATGAGTTGAGTAACATCCCCTTCATTTGATGGTTTACAATCGAGTTCTAGTTAGAAGGAATTTTGGTTGCAATCTCCAACTTAAGTAGATATTGAGAATAGAATTACCGCCACCGGTTACTTTAGTTCATAAAGTTTGTTTTCAGTTTAGTGATAAAACCTCTTTACACACCATTTTTAATCTATCACACAGTCATTAAGTTAATCTGCTGTTACTCCTTGATCAGATTTTCTGTTTTTCTTTTTACTGGATTATTATGTACCTACCGAAATTGATTTATTTCATGTATGTGCTAAGCATATTTTTCGTTGGCTGGTAGTTACTCATTCCCCACACACAGGTATTTTCAATATGTAAAATTGCTCATGAATTAGAATTTGAATCAAGACAACAACAAAATAAACTGTATCAGCAATCTGACACATACTTTCTCCCATTAGCTTGTCAACAACGTTTAACATGGGTAAGCGCCAAGCGGTGGGAGTAACAAAGAATTTTCAGGATTTTTTATGGGAAAATAACATAAGTTACAATAACATTTGAACCGAAAATCTTACAGGAATGGGAATTGTACCATTTTGTCCAGAAATTAAAGGACCATAACATACTAATTAAAATCAAAATTGGTTTTTTTCTAAAATCCTATTTTATGTCCTTTATGGAAAATAACATAAGTTACAACCACTTTTGAACCGTAATTTTTACCATTTTGTTTATGATTAAAAGGCTTCACGATATTTTTTTTATCAAAATCGTTCTGGCCATTTTTAACCGAATTCGAACAAAAAATTTAAAAAACACCTGAAGATACCATGAATTAGTACCTGCATACCAAATTTCATCAAAATCAGACTACTGTACAGGGTGTGGTCTAGTCTGTAGCTCTATACACATCCAAACATACAGACAGATATCACTTCAAAAACCAATTTTTTTTCCAAAACTGAAACTCAAAAATTTTGACAAAAACAATACTTTCTCCATACTACAGTATGTATAGGGGGAGAAAGTAAAAGTGTCCTATACAATCTAAATACTGAGGGAGTAAAACAGCTTAATGTGTTTTGTCCCAAATTGTTTTTTTTTTTTTTTTTTTTTTTTTTTACTTAATCACAAAAGATTATGCATTCCTAGCTGTAAACTACCTGTTACTGGCTAAGAAACAGGTGATCTTTAGCCAGTTACTGTAACAAAACTACTTACCAATGACATTTCAATCAATTGTGATCAATATTTTCCTGAAGTCACCTCCTCATGTTGCTGTCAACTTTTTCAAACTATTATTGTTTAAAATTATTAATTTAGACACATTACCGTCATCTGTAGGCCATTACCACTTTTTTATTAACGATGTGGAACATTCTTTGCTACATTAACAAGTTAGTTTGGCATCTTAAGTTCCATTGTAGCTGGTACCGGTACATTAAGCAGGAAGTGACACATTGCTAATACATCTATTTAATGCTCTTTCCAAACAAAACTTAGTAAATCTGTCTCTAATTTTTAATTATGGTTCAATATAACAGTGATAAATGTATGACACTAACAACAAGAACATAATTTTAGGAAGGAGTCGTGAGTGTAAGGATTGCATGGTTTCTGAGCGGTTTTAGAGTGTTACATGTGATACTGAGAAAATTCTCTTTGTATCGCTTTAGGAAAGTTTGAAAGTCTTAATCTAACTTTTTAAATTTGACATAACAAATTTCAAACAGATCAATGAATTGTTTATTTTTAACGAATTTCTATATTGGGAAGTAGGTATTACCGAAGGTGGCACAATAAGACCTAGGCCCGGGACCGATTTAATTTTTCAAATTTGATGTCCCCAGAGAACAAAAACACCATTCATTCAAATTATTATAAATATATGTCCGTAAATCCGATAACTTGAGTATGTTTTTCCGATTTTGATGAAATTTGGTTTAAAGGTGTAAGGCAGGATAAACTTGAATGAGTTCGCAAACCAGCATGATTTTATTACCATGGGAACGGGTTTTAAGGGGGGTTTTATGGGGTACAAATTTGTTTTTCTCATTTTTGACCCTCAAATCACAAAATTTCCTAATTTCTCTCTAGATCTTTTTAAAGAGCATAAAAAACAAATAATTTAGTATATCAAATTGTTTTTGTACATTTATTGTTAATGTAGAAAATTCAACAATTGTAATTTTAAATTTCCCATGTCATTCTTATGGAGAATTTTGTAAAATTTTGTAGTTTGCTTGTTTATGGATTTCAAACCTGGCAAATTTATTTATTTCATACTAAGCTATTAATACTTTATTAAATAACACACTTTATTAATATCCATGAAGCAACAAACCTATGTACTCTTTAAACCTAATGTTATTTAATAGATTTAAGTTAATTGAAAATCAATTCAGACAAATGGAAATTCGCTTAGTCAGCAGGTTTGCTGCAGCGGGGGTATTTATCAATACTCATATAAAACAATATCAACTCAAGGTAAGGAAACGAATCTTGGGAAGTCGTAACATTTGTTTAATTAGTAAAGCTTGTCATGTATAAACCACAAATTGATGTTTGAATCTTTGACGTGACATTTCTCTTATCAAAAATAATAATCAGTCGAAAATTATGATATTTTCATAAGTTAAACTTAATGACTGTTATAAAAAGTGAAGCTTGTCAAGTAGAAACAAACATTTTAAATGCAAATAAAAATAAAACAGGTCTGCTTTGTCTCCTTTTCATACCTAAATCATTACAAAATATACTACATTATATTGTATAAGTAGAAACTTTAAAATGACTAACAATTTTTTCAAGTTGTAACAAGTTCAATTTGTCACCTCAAGAAAAAAATATAAAATACCAAGTAGACCGGTTTTGATTGTTCTTCTACCTAACTCAATAAACAACTTATCTTAGTTAATAAAACAATTGATTGGCTGTTATGACAACGTCTTCAAGTCATAAATTGTCATGTAAAACAAACATTGAATGTGTCTTATGTGTAGATCTGTTTTTCACCTTTCTCATAGGTATCTTAATTAGAACTTATAATAATTCATAAAGTGTTAAAATGCTTTTTATTAATACTTTTAGGTGGTAACAGTTTTTGACTCGTTGAAAACACCCAATTGAAATAATTAGATTTTTTTTGTTTTCTCATTTTAAATAGGTAAGTACATTTTACCAATTTGTCATGTTCTATCAAAATTGTTCAAGCTGAGACCTTTGTCCTCTTGAAACAAACTAAAATCAGCTTCTGAAAAAAAAACTTCTAAAACTTCTAAAAAACTAAAAAAAAGCTTCTAAACCAAAATTCCCTATTTTGATGTCTAGTACTTTGTCTGTATTTTTCTCCTGCTTAAATAATGTAAAATGATACAATAACAATAGAAATATTTTAAGTTTGTAATAATATTTGTTTGACAGATATTATTTACTGACAATTACAGTAATCTTATTTTATCCAAGCCATGGATTGAAATTCATACATATCTGTTTCGTGTCCTTTTACAAAAATATCCAGTTCACTAAGTAAGATTTTGAAACAGTGACAAAATAATTCGAGACTTCGGTACACACCTTCCTTACATCTCAAGTTCTAATACTATAAAAATAAATTACAGTCCTTAAAAAACAATTATTTGGTTCCTATTGGCGTTAACAAAACATACAAAATTTGTACACACAGATTATCTAGAAATTCACATTTATGCTACATAGTACCTACCTAATTACAAGTCTTTTTTTGTACAGGGATAGAGTTGAACTAGCTTACCTCAGAAAGTTAGTGTCCAGTGGTTAAAACATACCTAATAAAAGGTCCCATAAGATTTTTAAAAATATAGAACTTCTTTAGAGAGTCAAGAAAAATAGTCGTTTAAATTTAATGTTTTCTTTATTATGCTCTCTGAAAAGTCCTATCTTAAAAACACGGGTTACGTTGTAACTACCAGTACATTACAGGCTCCGAAAGTCTTCCTAACCTCAAGTTATGAAAACATCTTCAACCTTATTAGTTAGCCTTTTTTAAATGTTCCTGTACATAAAACATCTTTTGTTCTACATTCTGTTTGTAAATATATGCTTTTTCTTTAGTGGCCAATATACTTGAAATGAAATGCTTTATTGTCATTAAAACTAAGTACAAAGTTCATGACAATCGTCAAAAAAAAAGAAAAAGAAAACAATCAAGATGGCAACTAAAATAACTAAAACTAAAACTCTAAACCAAAGTACCGGTACTCTACATGTTTAAAAAAGATAACTAAAATGACTCAAGCTTTGATCTCATCACAAATTTATCTTCAAACTACTCTCCAAAAGTCCTATCTGAGAATGAAATACCAGTGTCATTTTTGTGAACTTTCTTTCTCGTTTGCTTTAGAAAGCAGGCTCGATTAGGCAACTGTGCCACCATTATGTCACCTTTAATACAATAATTTTAAATTTGTCCCTCATAAGGAGAAAATGTGGTTCTTTGGAATCGCCTTCTGCTGGTATGGCATCAAATGATCACTTATTGAAGCTAATTGTTTAACGTTCGTAATGTTTTTCTGTGTTGTCTTCAGATTTTTATTTAGCCTACTTTAACTTGGTGGAACTAGCCAAACGTTTCTGGTTCTGCATTTTGTAAATGTGACCTTGTATTAAGTATCTATCAACTCTTGTACTCCTCTCTTGAGTAAACTATCTGAACTTTATCCTTTCAGAACTCCTTAAACCTTTCAGCTTTCCATCATAAAACCCTAATTACATGTATACCCTTAGGAATTACAACGGGTCAAAGAGTAGCACCGTTGACTCACAGCAATTCAATAATATCACAGTCCGCAGACGTTTGCCCTGTTGTAGCGTGCACGGACGTGCTAGCAGGTTGAGTGACCGTGCAGCGCACACGCGAGGGTCAGGAGGCTTTGGAGATACCCAAACTTTCTCTCAACAGCTGTGCAACGTCGATGGTTGCCATCACTTCATCATCTAAAAAGAATAAAATTAGCTGGCTTTAAAACTTATCAAGATACTTGAATGTAACTCATGAACAATACAGCTAGGTATTCTATGATTATGCTTATGGATACATTTTAAAAATGGTTAGAACATGACGTACCTTTAATAGAAGTAACTTCTCTTTCTAAATGCAGTTTCTCTTGAGCTATCCTCAAGATCGCCTCTTCAATGGTCCCTTCACTCACAAATCTCATGATAGTCACAGGTCTGAAAAAGTATTGGAATAAATGAACGGAAAAAATTTGTCTTGCATGGTACTTGTATTTTGGAGCTTAGTGTAACACTTTACTGTTCTAGATGAAATTTATTTTTATTTAATTATTTTATCGCTTGAATTTATTTATTTTACTCATTTTTTTTTTAATGTTATTTGAATATACAATCACTTGTTTTTATATAGGCCTACATCATCAACCTTTTAATTTACCCTTAGCTTGGTTCAAAAATCTTACCACTCGCATGGATTATGAATACCCGACCATTGACTCATCTTCTTTCTCTTGATGGCCAAAATAGTAAAGCGCAAGTGTTCCCTTCAAATAAAGAAAATTAAAATAATTTGTTTGTATTTTACCAAGCAAATTTGACCACACGGCTGTTAATAATACTTAACCTAACAAAATACAGCAAGAAAAAAGTATATTAGCAACATCAAACATAAGGACATAAGAAAATTCATTCCATCTTTCAAAGCCTTAAATCAGCTCTGTGAGTCTGTATCAGCTGTGTGACACACTATTGGAGACTGGTTTGGTGACATGTATGCTACTATAGGTTATTTCACCTACCTGGTCTGTCCCATCCTATGACAACGGTCCTCTGCCTGTTTGTCGTTGTAAGGGTTGAAGTCTACATCGTGTATAATCACAGTGTCAGCAGCCGTCAGATTTATCCCGATGCCACCAGCTTTGGTTGACAGCAAGAAAACAAAAATGGATTCGTCTTCGTTGAACTCATCAATCATGTCTTGCCTGTAGAGAAACCAAGAGCGGGTTTTGTTTTTACAAAAATACCAAAAATAACTCCATAACTGTATGGTTAACAAAAATTTGTTGAATGAAATCAAAAGTGCTCTTTTTAACAAAAAGAAACATCAGTATCCCTCAGTACTTTTAAACAGCAGTCACATTGCCCATCTGTTGACTGAATGACACATTGCCCCACTGCACATTGACCTGATCGGCATCCAGACTACTTAAGTTCCCTACCAGATGTCACACTCCATCGTAACCCCCTGTAGTAAATGTGTTCTTATTCAATAACACCAATTAATGCAGAAAAACATAAACAACCCCCTTTATCAAGGTTAATTTCAAAATTTAATGTTCTTACAGATTATTCTCTTAACTTTTTAGGGTCAAGTAAAAATCTGTGGGTTGGAATGCCTTTTTATCAACATTATACGCTTAGCAATATGGGAGTGCTCTGAACACATGCACTTAACCTGGCGTTCAGGGGTACTATCTCAGTGTCTTCAAATAAGTGACTTTTGTAACTGGTAAACATACTGAATTAGCTTTAGCAAAACAGAACTAAATCAGTCTGCAAAGAGAATATCACAGAATTGTTCACACAGACTTGCTTGTCCAGCTAAATCAAACAAAACATCCGTTACCTTTCTCAAACAGGGCTTTATCAAAACAAAACTATTCTGCAAAGGGAATTTCACAAAAACTTTCACAGATTTGCTTGTCCATAAAAGCCAAGATAGAATCAAACAAAACATCAGTTACCTGTCACAAACAGGCGTGGAGCCGTCCAAGCGAAGAAAGTTGTGTTGTCTGACTCGCATGTAATCCTCCATTATATCCAGCAAGAACACAAACTGAGAAAAGATGAGAACTTTGTGTCCCGTCTCCTTGAGCGGTGGCAAGATCTCGTCCAGTTTGAGGAACTTACCACTGAGGACGAGGACAGGATCAGGCAGTTCATTACCCGACAGACACTGGCAACAACAAAAACCATCAGTCAGGCAATGAAGATCAGTGTGTTAGCAAAATTCCTATTTAGGGAATAAGCTATTAGTGTATGTCTCGTGGTAAGACCTAGAACAGGGACTGATTTACTTTTTTTTGTCGAGGCCCCTAGGAGCCAAAAACACCATCCGTTCAAATTCAAATTAGCACGATAACTTGAGAAAAATGATCCCATTTTGATGAAGTTTGGAATAAATGAGTGAACCTACATGGTTTCAAACAAGTTCGCAAACCAGCATGATCGTGATATGAGAATGATGGGTTTATGGGGTGGTTTGCGGGTTAATTTTGGGGTTTTCTATTCTTGATCATTAACATATTCAATTTTGAAATTACTGTCTAAACCATTCTGTAGAGCTCTAAAAACAAACAATTTAGAATATTGAAGCGTTGTTATGCACTTAATGATAAGGGAGAAAATTAGAAATAACTATAAATATAAAATATCCATGATATTGTGGAGAATAGGTAAACTGTTGTAGTGTGCTTGTTTAAGAACATATCAAATTTTGAAAATGTATTTATTTTATGCTAAACTATTAACCTTTAACTATCTAAAAAAAAACACTTTATTACCTTTTTTTAATCTAAAACTTTCAAAGAGATGTTTTAGTTAAATATAGTATACATAATGGTGCACTTGCATATCTGTATCAAGGATTGATAATCTATAGCTACTTACTTATAATATACAGTAGAACCCCGGTTAACCGAAACCTGGGTTTTCATAAAATATGTACCGGTATCCATAAAATGAAAATGGTACAGGGCTAAAATATAAGTATGTAACCTCAGTTATTAAGTTTAAAGTATTTTAACCCTTTTTAACATTTTTGCTTAGGCATTGTTTTAAATTTATTTTTCCTACACATTGTGGTAATACATATGCTATTTTTAGCATATTACGGGTTAACCAAAAAATTGGTTATCCGAAACAGCTCTCCCCCCTTTACTTCGGTTAACCGGAGTTCTATTGTAATACTGTAATATAAAATCAATAATCAGTTTACATGGTTCCCCTTTTTAACAGACTTTATTTGTCTAAAACCTCTCTTGAGAGTAGGTGAAAAGTGGGAGTTCTGATACAAAGAATAAAGCATGTACACTCACCTTGTGCACCTTGACAAGTTTGTGCAATTGGTGATCTGACATCCATTGTAGATCCTCCAGGATTCTTTCTGGGTCATTCTCCTTATATGTAGGGTCAGTAGACAGCAGCTGGGCTATCTTTGCCAACATGTCATCCTAGACAAGAAACATTCAGGTACATAATTAACATAAATACCTAAAAAAAATTTAATTTTTTCAAAGACTTTTAAATGAAGTCTGCAGTGTTGTAATAGCCGATTGCTCATCTTACTGGCAACATAGAAACAGCCGTTCTACCGACAGAGAACGTGGACAGAATTTGATTGGGCACTAGTGCTCTATAGAGGAAAGTGCTTCGGCAAGTTCCACACCTTTGTCTGTGAAAGGAATCCCAGTAGCCTATTGCTTGACTTGTCCTAAATAACAAACCAATTGTATGTCCAATCGTGCTACATTTGAACAAAAATGTGCATAAATAATAAAGAATATATCTCAATTGGAAAAGCAGAGAGAATGAATGAATGAATGAATTATCTCTTTATTCCAACAAATTATTTACAGAGTATGTACACAAATATTTAAAGGAAGAAAAAAAACATAAGTGAATTTAAAAGAATAAAATAAAATTAACCTTTACATTACATCTATGTAAGTGTTAGTGTGAGAGTTTGAGGTGTGTGTGTTTCACTACCTGAAAAAAATGTCTATGACATAATGATAGTTACCTGGTAATGATATCGCAGAGTGAGAGGATGATTTGCCATCTTGCGCAGCCTCATCATAATTGTCATGGAGTTGATCTCTCGGCCAGTGTCGTCTCGAGCCTCTTCTAGAAGTTCTGCGTACTTAGCAGCTTGGTCTTCCTCCATCGCACATTTCACCACTGTTGATGTTTTAGTCGGCAGATCTTTCAGAACGTCCAGCTACATTCAAAACAAAACCATTAAGTAAATCAAGGATTTTTACCAATGATTTAAATTAGTGACTTAGTTTGACTATCCATTGACTACCTAGTATATGAAGAAAAACACAGATTCATTTTTTAAAATTTTTTAATCTTTTCAAAATCAATGCTAGGACAAACAATTTTGATACTATATTCATCTAATTTGGAAGTCTACAAATTTTTTATCCGGAATTTGTGTTTTAAAACAAAAACTTTTAGTTAGAGTTGGGAGAGTTTGCAAGTTTAACATGAACATAAGTTTCATTGTGTGTTTTTGTGTGTTATACTTACATCATAACAACAATGTTTACCTTAAGCCTCCTTAAAATGAAGGGGTGAATGATTCGCTTGGCTCTCCGTACTTGTTCTTGCTCAAACAAAGGTGCATCCTCAATATTTTGTTTCTGAAAGTGACAATAGCATACAGATTTTTCTCGACAATCAGTCATCTTTAAGATTATTTAAAAGTTCAATACAAGCTAAACGATAGACTAAGCGACACAAGTAGACTTCTCATCCCAATGTATATTTTGAAGCTTGTTTTTCTGTCTACTTCATGTACGGCGACATTGATCGTGTAGATGATATTTTGTTTCTATTATTTAAGGGTTATTTTCTTGATTTGTGCTTTACTGTTTGGTTATATAACAAGAAAACCAGTTATTGTTTATGATTAGAACGTTTAATTTGGTTAAATGAGGTTTTAAATTACTAAAATAACAAGAAACAAATTGCAAACAAAACACAACCTCTACAGTGTGACGTCACGCTGGTGGCGCTGCCTACGAATTGACAGGCAAAGCTCTCTCAAAGGACTTAAAGCTTTTTACCATGCGGTTGGCATTCTGGATTATAGTGGTATGTTTTCTGTGGTGACGTACATAACTAACAATAAAATTGGCGTCATCTGTTCCATAAGGATGACAAATCTACTAAGGGAGTATATGTTATCTATGACTAAGCCCATGCATGCTTGGCTGTGGCTTAACCCGACACAAACATGTAGGATTTAGGAAGTCACATAATTCAGGATAGCTGTGATTATAATTGAATAGCTTCAGGTTGATTTGTTTGACCATCGAAACACTGAAATTAACCAATAAATAGAAGAAGTAGTTTATAGGCCTATATATAACAGTGAACATTAAGGATATAATCAATTTTCAAGTTAGTGAAAGTAGTACTTACAGGATTTTTTGAAAATAGGAACTTGAGATTTTCAGATTTTCCAGAAAACATGTCAGGCATGACAAACACCAAGAGAGACATGAGTTCTAGTAGATTGTTCTGTAGAGGCGTCCCAGTCAACAGTATTCTATGGAGGGCCTGGACAATACACATCATGTATCAGGCCAAGTAGCTCATGAAGGAACACAACAACTTTACCCCAAACACAATGATTAGAATATTTCACTGACGTTTTCACAGCATTTTCGTCTGATGAACGTTTCAGTTTAAAGTAAGATAATTCTTCATTGTTTTGTTTCTCGTGTCATAATCTTTCTCATTTAGCGTGCTATTCCAACAACATTATTTATTTTTTTATATTTCTCTTTAGTTTTAAGTTTCATAATTCTGGTTGAAATGTCCAGTCGTCCAGTCATTTTTTATACAAATTTCATAAGCTGCAGTAAATTTTAATTTTGTTAAGTTGCTGACACATAGTTATGTAAAATCATATTGATGGATGTTAGCCTCCGGATTACTGTATAATACTTAAAGTGGTTTAAATACCTGCATTTAAGTAATCCAATTCGTTGCTTATGTTGCAACCGGTTTCAACTCCGTGGAGTCATCTTCAGGCGTCCAAGGATATAAGTTATCACTTCATTTGAAGGTCGTCATAGTTTTTAAAAAACGAATATACACGCAACACGAACATTGAACACTGAACACTGACGTTTAACATTTAAAATACCCCCGTCGCAGCAAACCTGCATACTAAGCGAATTTCCATTCACCCGGCTTGATTTCTACTAAAATATTCCCTATAAATTTTCAGATTTATTTCCTATTTAAATCATTAATTTTAGTGAGTAGATAGGTTTGCTGCTACGGGAAAGATGTTGAGGTGTGTTTTTTCAATTGAAATATTGATAGCTTAGTATGAAATAAGCCAAATTGCCAAATTTGATTGAAATATATCCATAAATAAGCAAACTAGAACAGTTTATTTATTTTCCATAAGAATAACATGGGAATTTTAAATTTACAATTTCTTTAATTTTCTCCGTAGTCAATGAACATTCAAAAAAACTTCAATATACTAAATTATTTGTTTTCTTAAGCTCTTCAAAATGGTCTAGAGAGAAATTTGGAAATTTAAAGTTTTTAGGGTCAAAAATGAGAAAAACCCATTTTTACCCCATAAAATCCCCCATAAACCACTGATCCCATGGTCCGATTATGCTGGTTCGCGAACTCGTTCGAATAAATGTAGGTTTACACGTTTGTACCAAATTTCATCAAAATCGGATCAATTTTGCTCGAGTTATCACGCTAACGGACACATATATAAATATATATATATATATATAAATAAGCTTAATAGACCCGGGACCGATTTACTTTTTCGTTTTGAGGTCCCCAGAGGCCAAAAACACCATCCGTTCAAATTCATATTCATATGAATATTCAATTTGAACGGATAGTGTTTTTGGCCTCTGGGGACCTCAAAACGAAAAAGTAAATCGGTCCCGGGTCTAGGTCTTACCATGAGACCTACGGTAATAGCTTATTCCCTATATGGGAAATTCGCTAAAACATACAAAGTTGCTGAGAAGGTGACGACCTTCAAATGAAGTGATAACTTATATCCTTGGACGCCTGAAGATGACTCCACGGAGTTGAAACCGGTTGCAACATAAGCAACGAATTGTATTACTTAAATGCAGGTATTTAAACCACTTTAAGTACGTAAAATCAATCTAATTTCCAAATGTTAACCTATATCGTGCATAACATTGTTTTAAAATTGGTGTATCTAACACCGTTTGAAAGGACAAGAAAGAGGTAGAGTTCTAGCAAATACAGGAAGAACCATTTCTCAAAGATGTTTGAGGAACATTGCGAAAGAAAAAATATTCGGGGAGAAAGTTAAACTGAGGTTGGATTGTGTTAAGAAAGATCACAAAGGGTCAGCAGGAAAAAAGAGATGATGAAGATTGAATTTCATAAAATTTTGTGTTAACCCCTTCGCTTAAAGCGACGGCGATTCGCCGTCGTGCTCCCGCGAGCCATTGTGTGAAGCGACGGCGAATCGCCGTCCGCCATTAAAATCAATATTTGCCGAGTTAGTTCCCAAAAAATCCAACAGATCGCATATGCTTCTTGTTCTGCAAGCTTCAGGCTTTCATTTGGTTGTATTTTCGTCGTCCACAGCCTGCCCAATCGGCAAAAACAATCAATTGAAAATTACGATTTACCAGCTGACGTTGGGAACGTTGTCTTGGCAGCTGTCTGCCTTGTTTGTTTATGTTTACATCGTCATTTCACAACAGTATTTTATTTATATCATGTTGAATTCTATTTTTCGTTTGCAAATAGTTGTTTTATAAAATAAATAAGATGAGTAACTTTTTATTTGTTGATGAGTGTGGAAGGGAATTGGACGAAAGTGAGATTGCTAAACTTATTGAATGTGACAGTGACTCAGACAGTGATTGTTATTTATTTGAAGAAAGGCTTGAGAGTGATGATGAATTATTGGAAATAAACAATGAAAACGTAAGTGAAGCATGCAATAGTATAAGTATTGCTGACTGTGAACCTCAAGATTTAGCTGATAATGGTGTGACAGAGCATGCTAGCCCTAGGCCTGTTATAAATAGTGATTGTTTGCATGACCTGCATGTTAGGCCTAAGCCTGTAAATAATGATTGTTTGCATGACCAGCCCTCCTGTAGTTATGCCCGACCTATGTCCCCTCAAAATGTGCCTCATAGGCCTAGTCCTGTGTCCTATGAACAGCAAAGTTCTGATGATGAAAACCCTGTTGGATTTATGGAAAAAATTTACCGAGGTAGGGTAATTGCACCTGCACTATCTCCTACACCAAGTGAGGAGGCTGAGGCTGATGACCCTAGTTTTATTGAAACAATTCCTTGTCAAGTACCTGAGTATAGTAGAGGTGCAACTATTGGTAGATCAAGGGGAAGGGGAAGTCAAAGAGGTAGGCCTAAAGGAAAAAATCCTAGTTTAGTGGTACCTAAGCCTACTAAACGGTCTAAGGGCCAACCTAAAACAGCTAAGAAAAAGAAAAAACAAGGTTGGAAATGGACCAACACCATAGAAGACAATAGTATTTTCAAAATACCTTTTACAGGCTGTCCTGGTGTCAGGGCAAGCTTAGCAAGAAATTTAGGTCCTTCTCCATCTGAAGTAGAAGTATTCAACGCGTTTGTCGAGGATGATTTTTGGCAACATGTTGCTACAGAAACAAACAAATACGCCGAAGAGACAATTGAAAAAAATAATGCAAGTGGTAAAGATAAACATCTACTCTCTGAATGGTTTGAAACAACTCCTGATGAAATGGCATGTTTTTACAGTCTATGTGTTTTGATGTCACTTGTGAAGAAAAGGACCATTCAATCGTATTGGGCCCCTACTGCTACTACTGAGACTCCGTTTTTTCGAAAAGTTATGCCTTTTCGTAGGTTTTTGCTCTTATCAACAATGTTCCATATTTGTGATAATAAAAATAAGCCTCAGAATGACAAACTGTGGAAACTGAGGTATGTCATTGATTACATGAATCAAAAGTTTTCACGGTTATATTTGGCCGATGAAAACATTGCAGTAGATGAAAGCTTGATGAAATTTCGTGGGAGGTTGGGGTATGTGCAATTCAACCCCAAGAAAAGAGCCAGGTTCAGAATCAAATTTTACAAATGTTGTGAGTCAAGCAGTGGATACTGTACAAAATTTAAAATATACACCGGTGCTGAAGTGAAACAAGGCGAAACAGTGGAAGAAGGGGGTGGAGACACTGCTGAGGGTGATAAACTTTTGGTGAGTGAGGCCATAGTCATTGAAATGGTCAAGGAATGTTCCGGTAATGGTCATACCCTCACAATTGACAACTGGTATTCCTCACCTCTCCTCTACTATAGATTGAAACATATTGGTTTCAATGTGATTGGGACGGTAAACTCTTGGAGGACAAATATGCCTGACAGTTTCAAAAGTGGAAAACTTGAGGTCGGTGATTATGAAGCTGCGTTTAGCCATGACATGATGGCCCTTAGATGGCAAGACAAGAAAGAAGTGTGTCTCTTGTCTACTTTCCACAGTAAGGGAGACAAAAAAACAACTGGAAAGAGAGACAGAGTCAGCGGTGAGGTGATTACCAAGCCTGAACCCATCCTCTATTACAACAGCTCGATGGGCGGTATCGACCGAGAAGACCAACAGCTTGCTTCTTTTCCTACGATGAGGAGATATGCTAAAGGGTATAAGAAGATTTTTTTTTATATTTTGGACATAGCTCTCTTCAACTCTTATGTTGTTTTTAAAAAAATCACCCAGAAGAAGATAGGATTTGCTGAATTCAAAAGTAAATTTACGGAGCAAGTGTTCCAGACCAGACAACTACCGGCCTACAAACGAAGAGGGCGGCCATCAACATCTGAAACCCCTCTACGGCTTCAAGCAGCTTCTTGGGGTCATTTCCCAAGACAAATCCCACCTAATGAAGTAAAGCAAAACCCATCAAGACGCTGTAAAGTTTGTAGTGCACAAGGGAAGCGGAGTGACAGTCGGTGGGAGTGCGAAATGTGCCTTGTTGCGCTTCACCTACCCGAATGTTTCAAGACATATCATACTAAGTTGAACTTTGCTTGATATCTTTTTGAGTCTACAACATGCCAATCAGTATTTTAAGGCAGAACAGTAAGATATTTTTAACTTTTATAGTCAAAAATTTTTAAAAAAGGCAAAAATAAAAAAAATTTTATATACATTTTTTTTTTTGTATTATATGGTATAGAAAAATAATAAAAATACTTTTAACCAATAAAATGTTTGTTTTTTTTAATCTAAATTCAATTCTGATTAGAAAAATAACAGTATTTGATATACAAATACAAAATTCTGAGTGCAGGTAAAAATATTGTAAATTGTGTAAAATTACACAGAAATAATTCATTTTTTTGGCCCGGTTAGGTGTAAAAATAAGTTTAAGCGAAGGGGTTAAAAGAAAATCATAGCGTTATTAATTTACTCTCATAATTATTTGTAATGTTTTCAACAAACTCACATTGATATTAATGAGATTCTCGTATCGCTGTGTGTTCATGTTTTTCAACATATGAGCTTCATCAAAGACGACATAGTGAAAATGTTTGACTCTGAACATTTTTCTCTCCTCGTAACAACTGCCAACCATGCTGTACCTGTAACAAAATAAAAAAAAACTTTGGTTTGGTGGTTGTATCACTGACATAAAGTAATGAATTTAGTTTTTACATGTACTGTATAACCTCAATTATTTTAGTTAGTTGTGGAAAGGAGGATCTCGGACAGCTAAATAAAGTTCCAAGTTAGAAAAACCAATCAAATTTGTGCACAACTACACACTAGAACATAAATCATAGAACAAAGATTATAGTGATGTAAAAAATATGGGTTATTTGGAATTCAGATCGATCTTTTCAAATATGTAACACATTTCGATGGTATTACAAGATAAAACAAGTGTATGCACTTGACTTACGTAGTTAACACCACTTCCGTGTCGAGAAATCCATCCTTGAACCAGGCATGTCTCAGCCATCTTCTATCCTCAGGTGAGCCGTAGTACTGCTCCACCTTCAAGGAGGGACACCACTTCTCAAACTCTATACACCAATTCTCTGTGACAAATATCCACCATGACAAACAGGGAAAGGCAACCCTTGGTAAATTTAAAGTAAATCATCCCAAAATTTCAGGAATTTTCAAAAAAATATATTTTGATCTTTGGTTGCAATAACATAATCGACAATCATTATCAGGATTTTCTTGGTATTGGGATTTGTTACAACTGTAAGCGATTATGGCGTAATCCCTAGTGACAATGATGTCTCCACAATGGCAGGAGATGTTCAACGCAATTTTTTGTGAGACACGCTTGTTCAAATCATATAAAGATTTGTTTAGTCTATGCTACAAGTTCTAAGGTATTAAAGAAGTTTTTTACTGTTTTTGAAACACTCTATTGTGATCCAAATTCATGAAAGATTTTTTTGGAGTGTCAAAGCTGCACGTTACATACCTAGCGTGGATGCAGGAACCACGATTAGATGAGGACTGTTGGCCTCGGTCTGGCCTGTCTCTTTGAGATGTGCCAGGAAGGCAATCACTTGGATAGTCTTGCCCAGACCCATCTCATCTGCCAGGATACCACTGAGCCTCTGCAGGTTCATCACATTCAGCCAGTTCAGTCCTACCATCTGGTACGGCATCAGTTTTAACCTAGAACATTGCAGCTACATGTTACACACGTAGTCTTGCCCAGACCCATCTCATCTGCCACTGAGCCTCTGCAGGTTCATCACATTCAGCCAGTTCAGTCCTACCATCTGGTACGGCATCAGTTTTAACCTAGAACATTGCAGCTACATGTTACACACAGTCTTACCCAGACCCATCTCATCTGCCACTGAGCCTCTGCAGGTTCATCACATTCAGCCAGTTCAGTCCTACCATCTGGTACGGCATCAGTTTTAACCTAGAACATTGCAGCTACATGTTACACACAGTCTTGCCCAGACCCATCTCATCTGCCACTGAGCCTCTGCAGGTTCATCACATTCAGCCAGTTCAGTCCTACCATCTGGTACGGCATCAGTTTTAACCTAGAACATTGCAGCTACATGTTACACACAGTCTTGCCCAGACCCATCTCGTCTGCCAGGATACCACTGAGCCTCTGTAGATTCATCACTGATTCATAACTAAAGTATGTATTTAAAAATGTAAATACCCCTGTTGCAGCAAGCCTCCAGACCAAGCGAATTTTCATTTGCCCGATTTGATTTTTAATTAAATTTATTTCAATAACATTACATTTAACGAGTACCTACGTTTGCTGCTACAGGGAGCAAAGTGTGTTAAAGTATGTTTTTTTAGAAAATATAAATAGTTAAATTTGCCATTTTTGATTAAAATATATCCATAAACAAGCAAACTACAACAGTTTACTTATTCATAAGAATAACATGGGAATTTTAAATTTAAAATTTTTTAATATTCTCTGTAACCAATAACCCGTACAAAAACACTTCAAGATACTAGATTATTTGTTTTTTTAAGCTGTTCGACCTTGATTTCATTTTTATTTTTTATTTTTATCCTTGGTTTAAAAAAATCATAGGCCTATGTAAGTATGATTTATGTTTACTATCAACATAGTCAATAAGTCAAAGGCCTATATTAAAACTAACTACATAAATTTTACCGTATGATTTTACAATGCTAAGATCATTTGTTAGTTCAAACAACTTTTAAGAAACGCATACACCAAAGCACCTAATTACATTTCATTACTGGTTATCGGTAGTAAACTATTCAACCTCAACTAACACTTTTTTCAGTATTTCAGAAATGAGACAAATTCTATGCTATACAAACTTATCTACCGAGTTATCTAGTAAACTGGTATTACTCTGGATTGAGGATGGAAGGCTGTTGAGTAATACTGTGAGAGCCGGCTGCGATTGCGTTCTCTGTGCGTTGTGCGATCTTTTCACACTTGCGCATCAAGTAGGACACAGCACCCCGAGCCTCCAACACTTGCTGTGCTCCGTTCAACAGATTAGTGCTCAGGAACTTCTCTGTTTGGAACTTAGTAACCTACAGAACATAATACATAAAATCAAACTATAGTTTATTTGAGGTTAAGGGTGTAGCATAGAGCACAAGGGCCTAGATTTTTAGGACTTTTTTGAGAGGATAGCAGGCTTACCTGAATGGGAAGAGTCCAAACTGGCACAGGAACACAAAACTTTACACTATATACACAAAATATTAAAATATTTCACTGTCACTGACAGCATTTTCAACTAAGGAAGAGAAAGTTTTCTGGATGTCTAAAATGGTGGCCAGTGAGCTAGTTTACTAGCTCGTTTACTAGTTTAGTAGCTAGTTTACTAAGTCTAGACAACCCCCAAACCTAAACCTAAGATAATACCTTTCATCTAACCCACTCCACTTCAACATCCAACCCAACTAGCAGGCTTACATATATATTTATATATATAAATATAGTGCATAAAAGATAAACTGAAACTGTGTTTTTTTAAATTCATACTATTGGCAACACTGACTCAACAACTCACTGGCCACCATTTTGGACATCTAGAAAACTCTCTCTTCCTTAGTTGAAAATGCTGTCAGTGACAGTGATATATTCTAATGTTTTCTGTATATAGTGTAAAGTTTTGTGTTCCTGTTCCAGTTTGGACTCTTTCCCATTCAGGTAAGCCTGCTATCCTCTCAAAAAATCCTATAGTTTATTTGATTATTTTTTAAACAAAAATAGTCATGTACTTCCAGTGAAACAAAATGTCCCTTAACCATTAAAAATAATATCCTTACCGTGATGTATAAAAATAATGGTGCAAATATAAACAGGTGTATTGCAGGTTTACGTTAATTAACACAGCTGTTCATGCCAACAATAAAAGAGCATGTTTACATATTAAATGGCTACTTCAAAGAATGAAAAAATATATCTGTATTGGAGATCACTCAAACCGAAGCTGAACATTAAAAAACACAGAAATGTTTGTTTTTTTATAACTTTGTTATTTTTGTAATTGTTGTTGGATTTTGTAATTTGGTGAGCAAGTTTCTCTGACACACAAAACTATGTTTTTTTAACCAAAGATGTTGAAAAATTCACTTATCAATGTTGATAAAATAGATAGATAAGGTCGTGTCAAAGAAGCAAAATAGTCTAAATTAGATTTAGGTTTTTAAAACTATTTCAAAGACAAATAAAATATTCAAACAATTATGGTAGGCCTACTAAAATTTATTCTTCATTAGTAGGCTTTTGCGGCCAGTGTTTTACAACCCTTAGTGGATTTTGATATCAAATGAGACGTCAGTTGGAGATCGCTCCAGATATTTCACCCTGTAAAGAGGCATCTTCAGTGACCCAGCTAAGACAGTTCCGTCTGAAAAAGCGGTTGACACCTAACATCACTGTGTAAGCCTACTTCAAGGAATTTCTACAAAGTTGAGATGCATACTAGGTCTTTCCAGCCGTTAAAAGGCCTAAACTTCTGAATGGCTTCTAACTTCTTGACTGTCACAGATGGCACAAGCTTCAGCTCCCCTTCGGTGGCCGTGTTGAAGAAGTTGAAGACTTTACTCTGAGACTCGGTCATCTCTCCTGAAATCTCCTCATCTGTGTCCGCATCACTGTCCAAGACAAAGTAATAGGATTATACACAACTATTTATTACGATTGTACAGTTATCTTTTATAGGGGGAGAGGTAAAAATGCTTTTACGCACACAGGTGGCCAGTAGTCATTAGTTGATACTCCTGAATTGATCAGACAGCTCACTAAAAAAACACCTCTACTCTAAGGCAAGATGTAAGCAAAGCTATCAGGGCTCAGTTTTTGGCATTTAATTCTTTTATGACCTGGACCGCATCCTGGTCAAGGTCAAACTTATTGGCATGGAGAATAAGCCTGTGAACCCTAGATGAAATGTAACACACTGGTCTAATGGTAGTAACCCTCAGTCATGATCGGGATTTTACAGTTGAACATGCTTAGTTGAACGTTATTTATAAAACTCTGTAATTCTTAGACCTTTAACAATCGTTGTTGAAACAATGAGGGTGGTTAAAACTCTTGTTGAATGGTTTTCATTATTTTAGAAGCATTAAAGATTTAAAAATAGGAATCAACAACATCAGTATGGAACAAAAAAGTTACATTGAGACCGTGTTCAGAAGTATCTCTCAATTATACAAGCTTTGGCTTAATCCGACCTTAAGTTTTATTCCATCCCCATGTTAAATTTGTAGCCAGCTTTTTTATCAAAATCGTCGTAGTTGATGTGAGCCACCTAAAGATTTCGCTGATCTAAATTACTAAATTCTGCCGAATACACAATCTTTGTAACCAAGTCAAACATAGGGAATGACTTATGATGAGTTATAGCAACTGTTATGACCCATCAACTTGGTCAGTAACAAAAAATAACGTATAAAATAGAATTTTAGACACTGTGATTGGCTCACACAACTACATTCTTTTTTAATAAAGAATTGGCTACAGCTGGTCCATATAGATGGGAAGTCTACTTCGGTATCCAATAGTCAATGGTATTGTTCAACCCTGCCAATAAACGAACAAGACCTAAAGCACCGTTAGATTGGTGTTTTAAAATAATTAACCAACAATAATTAATTTTACAAACCTGTCAAACACTCTGGGCCCTCGTGAGTTCTCATCTTCTGAATCTGAATTAATCTTTTTTCTCTTTCTTCTTCTTTTAGCTAAGGTAAAACATAAATCATTGCAAATGTCATTGGTATATTGAGCTTAAAAATACTTAAAATATCAAGTTTAAGGAAACCTCATTTTCTAAGTCCAGTAAAACAGTTTAGAGACATTTTTAGAGGTAAAAGAAACTATATTTGGTTCCAATTTTATTTTTTGCAAAATCTTGTTAGGCATGTATTTTTTATATTTTTTATTTCAATCTCTTTTGTTAAACAAGGAAACTGTTATAAAAACCTAAATGAGGTCTGAATGGATAAATATGTTGGATCACAGGACTTTAACATAATGAAGTTATTGTCATTGAAATATTACCGTTAACAGCTAAAACTTCAATATTTGAAGAAAATTATAATATGAAATCGGGAATTTACCTTTTGGTCTAGGCGATTCTGAGGTAGCTTTCCGTTTGCCGTTTACTTGGGGTTCAGCTTGGGTTTCCTGTTGCTTTTGTGTAGTCTCGACATTTGGTTTAGTTTCTGAATCACTACCAATGATTTCTACACTGTTGCTGTCGTCATCCACGATAAAGATTTCTGGTTCTTTCTGTAACACAGGAAAAGTACCTGCCTAGTGTATTAATTCACAAGGACTAATGAAACTTATTGTTGTCTAACATACTTCACATAAAGCTCAAAATAGTCACAAAGTTTTAATCTACCAGTATCTAGAGTTGGAAAGCACATTAAAAATTACCAATTTAAAACAATTAAATATGTTGGAAAATATAAATAGAATACTGACCTTAAAACTAGTGTCCTCGGAACAAAAAGAATTCTGGTTGTTTGCTGAAACATCAGAAAACAGTGAAAAGTTGACTAAAAGTTATGTTTGCAAAACTGGAAGTTCTAATGAAGTTTTATTAAATTTCTAGGCCTAGTTTTTATTTATTAAAAACTATTAAAACACAATAAATTGGGATGGTCTAAAGTTAAAACATCTTCTTACGATAAGGAGAGATTAAATTTATTGATGAAGCTAATATCCTGAAAATGGTCTGTTATTTTGTGATGGTTTAAAACTGGGCACAGCTTTCCTTCATTGGGATCCCTGGGCTTACTAAAAATGATTCCGACACAAAAAATCACCCAATCTTACTAACAATTCTGTGCAAGGCATCACTCATTCCAAGCTCATAATTCATTAAAAAAAACTTACCTAAAACATCTAATTGATTCACCTCTTTGATGTAGGCAATACATAATCATTGCTAATATGACAGAAGTGTATTTTCATTCATGTTATCAAATAAACATGTAAAGGTCGATTTCAAACATGTTCAGAAACATAGATTCATTGTTGCACCCATGATTGATAAATAATTTTAAGTTTAAACCAACATGCCTTCGTTGTCTGACACTATTAAGTACGGTAGCCTATTAGATTGTTAGCTTCAGATTATTATTGTTCCTTTTTAAAATGTATAAGATCGTCAAAATAGTCAGACACATGTCATTAAGAAACAAATTTAAACGTATCTAGGTATATTGTTAAAAGAATGTGTTGGATTTTTGTATTCAGCAAATCAACCAGAAAATATGTATTTTTATAGTCATATTGGGCACTAATTTAAAGCTCTTATACTCTAGATGTGCCTTTTGCAGGTTTGGATGATATCCCGTGAAAGCCCTTCGTCCTATAGGCTTTTAACATTTCAGAGTTTGTGCTGGAATCTGTTGTCAATCATCTGAACTTTTTTAAGTTTACATTTGTTTACGGTACATCAAAACAGTGGAATATGGACATAGTGTCTACAACGTTAAAAAGCACAATCTTTGGTCCCAATAAGACAATAACCTGCTTTTCAGTTACCGGTACTTGAACATGAGGTAATCGGGCAACACTTTTTGTGCCACTTGACTTTATGATCCCCTTGTAAAATCATTGACTTTTTCCTAACTTCAATTATGTCTGTGACCGGTAGACACCCTGATTAAATGCAAGTAAAACTATTACAAGGCTATCCAAAAGCATTTAAGTCGAGTGTCGAGACACTTAATGCATTATCATGTCAAGCAAGTGCATAATGGACCAGTTTATTTCTATCAAAACAAAACTTTATCAAACATATACAGTACCACAGCAAACAAAACCTGGACGTATCAGTGAAAAATGAAAACTAATCCTAATTGTAATATCTTTTACTCACAATTAACTGGAGGATCATCATCATCGTCAGACAAGATGATAGGACGTGGAGTTCGAGACCGAGGGTTAGATACAAAGATAACATCATCATCATCATCATCTTCCTCCACTGGAACGGACTGACCGTTCTTATCCTCATTCTCATCTTCAGAGTCGGATATCGCGTGAGTAACTCTATCTTCCTGCTTAACACTCACCACCTCGCTAACAGTAATATTTTTCAGCCTTTTACCAACACCTAGATTCTTCCAAACACTTTCCATATTGTTTGCAGCATCACTCTGATTTTCTGAATTGATCATGTTTCCGTTGCCGATCTGAACAGGTTTGATGACAGAGTCTGTGTCTGTGCTGGATCCTGCGTAGGAATCAGTGTCTGTCTCTTGGCTTTGCTCGCTCTGTTGTGCTGGAAAAAATATGGTAGGGAGATAGTAGCCAGACAGAGATAGGTTGGGTGGTAAAATACTGGTAAAATACAGTAGTCTAAGGTATAAGGCTTAGCAATACTGTACACCAAGTCCTCACTATTACCATAACCAACTCCTAGGTCGTTGCCCAACACTTGTTGGATATACTGCGTCAAATAAAATTTTAAAGTAATAAAACTAATAAAAAAATAACATTCTTGTTTAACCAATATTTACAAATAAAAAAACTAGTGATGGCGGTGCATTATATAGTTTCAGTTTAAGTGTGTATTTGCAATACAAAATTGTAGACACTGTAATTTTTGTGTTAAAAATAATTTCAGTGTTTAGTTAAAAACTGAAATAACTAGGTATTAAAAACCAGTACTGTAATATTATAGGTATGGTAACATCATTTTTGTATATAATACAGGTTATAGGCTGTTTATGTATTTTTTTTTTTTTTTTTTTTTAAGACAAGCACTTTATGTTTGTTATATATTTATATAGCATTTGGGTACCCGATGATGGCCTAAACATTTGTTTTTGACTATAAAAATGTCTGATTTTTGATTCTGATATAGGCCTAAATCGATTTTCAAGACGTCAACGGTCTACACTGAATTCCACATTAATTCTGCATTACAAGATTACTGTTTGAAAACATGTTTATTGTTGTGTTAGTTGTATTGTCCTCACGACCCTGGTGATAAGTAGGGCTACATGCCACTAATTTTAGTAACTGTTTGCATTCTATTTAGATGTGATTTTTACCTATCTTAATAAATAGGTTTTTAATTTTGGTAAATTCTAAATGAATGTAGTAAAAAAGCGCAAGAATAAAGGAAAAACATAACAGGCCTTCTGGCAGGTTCTGATGTTTTAAGGACTGGTAGTGTCGCTGAAACTCCCAATCAAAATGCACAGAATACACATAATATATGGTAGGTACTAGGTTACTAGTAGGCTTGCTTCTCTAGAAAGTATTTAAGTTAAGTTAGTAGGTTTATTCAAAAACTAACTTACCGTACCTACAAATAAGGATAACGTTTTCAAAATATTCAAATCTCAAAAACCTTTTTTTGGAAACTACAAACAATCATCAGCACTTTAAATTTAAGTTGCCAAAGAAGACTAAAATAAAGGCCTAAGTTTTAAATAGTTTTTTTATAAAAAAAGTTTGACTTATTTACATAAGTTAGCCTACATTACTCCATCAATCCTATAATTAGTCTTTGGCATCTACTTTTGAAACAGTCATATCATTGTCTATTATAAAATTGGCCTCATAAAATTATTGGGACATCTTGTCGTCGTCAATACACAAAAATACATTGAAAACATAAACGGACACAGACACAAAACATTAATTATTAACAAAAACGAATGTGCGGCCGTCACAGATTATGACAAATCAATATATAAACATATAGGTACTTTCAAACATTCATGATACAAACTTATACCAAAAACTAAGTTATCAGCTACGTTTTTCGATTGACATTGTAAGAACATTAACTCAGATCTTAATTGGCTATCAGCCTGACGTGAATGTATGAACACAATATTTTAACAAAAATATGGTTTCTGGTAGGTAGTTATAAACCAAATAAATAATAAGTTGTATGTAGCGTATTTAAAACATTTTACTTACATAGAGAATCATTATTATTAAATTGAACCTTCCTCTGGAACCTATATCTCATCAGACTGTTTAAAATACTCGGACTAGACTGAGACATCTTTTAGCTTATCAAAATAAAAACAGAAAAGATGTTTAACTGAAAAAGAAACAAAACACAAATTAGTAACAAACTAAAAAGAATCAAAACACAAATTAGTAACAAGCTAAAAAGAACCAAATAATAAGTACTGTAAACCGGGGTGAAGATGAAAACTTTTTCTGGTTTTTCTTGAATAGGGCTAACTTTCTTGTTAAATAAGATATCAATATATTGTATTTGTTGTTTTATAAAAAGACTCATGGTATTATAATAACTTACCCTAAGTTTAAAAAAAATAAATACAAAAAATCTAACTTAAAAAAAATAAATTATACCTGTTCATGTTCACCCCGGGTTTAAGATGAACACCCTATACATTTTACACTCAATGTATTTTTGCTCTAGTGTTCATTTTTTCCCCAGAGAAGAGCACAAAAAACTGAACATAATAAAGTCATTTTAAGGTAAAAAAACATTTTTTTTTGTTTTTTTGACAAATTGTCTATAGGCCTACATGGATTTAGGGAGACATATTTTTTTTACAAAAAAACATGGTCGCTTAAAATAGTTTTTTTTAACACACCAATTGGGTTATGATTGTTATGGTATGTGTTTTAAGTTATGTAGACAAAAAGATGCTGATTCATAAATTTTTTTATTAATTTAATTTTTTATGATTTCTTATAAAAAAAATATAATAAACATTTTCCGAGTTTTGTTCATCTTCACCCCGGTTTACGGTAAGATAAAAGCAACGTTTGTATGAATAAAATAAGTTAGTTAACTTAGGCCTAGGCTACTTAAGTTGGCTGCACTTTACTTTAGGTCCTACACTCATTTTAATAAAAATATCAATCGATATATCGATTGTGTCATTCGATATATCATTTGGTTAGTTAGGTATGGTTAACCTAACCTAACTAACCAAATGATATATCCAATGATCAATATTTTTATTCGAATGAGTGTAGGACCTAAAGTAAAGTGCAGCCTTGAAAGTACTGTAACTTTACTTTTTAAGTGTATTTCTGTACAAAGCTTCATACAAAAGGTTAATTTTCTAAGGTCAAAAATCTACTAAATAAAAAAAATGAAAAGCACTGCGTAAAAGACCTTGCGTAGGTTAACTTAGGCCTAATTATTCTTGCTTGACTGAAAATAACTTTAAGTCCAATACTAAACTGTTGACTAACGACTTAAGTTACTTAACCTACCTATATCTTGAACCAAAACAAGTTAATTGGACTAGGGTACTTTTCAGCAGAAGAGATTAAACCTAAGTTACCGTACTGTACTGACAGGATGATTGTCAACCGATGTCCAGAATAGCTTTGATGTATGTAGGTTACATAATCATAATCTTCTTCACCTATTAACTGACTGTGTGCTAATCACTGATTGTGATTTTTGCCTTAAAAACAGCCAACTGACGATCAATGGTCTAATTTGTATCCCGCTTCCTCTATCCTACTTCAATTTATTCACGTTTAGGACCTAGTTGCAGGATTTTGTCAGTTAGATATTATTGTTGCCTACCTACCTTAGGGGCAACTTAAGTTACTGCATGTGTATGGCCCCTTGGCCACAGTAACTTACTATTATCAACAACACAGCCTAACTTATGCCTAATCTCTTTTGTAATCATTGGGTTTAAAAATAATAAAAATTTAATCTATGCCCGGGTCTAGGGTGTTAACTATTACACTTATTTCATTGTGTGGCTGCACTTTACTTTACGTCCTACACTCATTCGAATGAAACAACCGAATGAGAATATTGATTTATCGATTTTATCATTCGATATATCGTTTGGTTAGTTAGGGTAGGTTAACCTTACCTAACTAACCAAATGATATAGCCTATCGAATAATCGATTAGTAAAGTGCAGCCCATTGTGTAAGTTTACCCTTCAAATAAAGGCCCTAGCCTAAAATTTTACAAAAAATAAAAGTAAGGTACTTATTTTAGTTAACTTTATAAGTCAACATTATTTCTCGTCAGAAAATAATAGGAATATGTATTTGGGCTAGGCCAACCAGTTTGTATGCATTGCTTAGGTCAAGTAGGCAAATAATCAGTAAAGTTGGCCCCATTTAAGTTAGACACAAATTAGGCTACTATTTTATTTAGTTTAACTTACCGGTTGAGCGTTTGAGAAGGAATCGATAAACTAGACTTATTAAAAATTAATTAAAATAATTAACAAATGAAGGCAGTGGGGCCGTTTGTCACAATATTATTATTTTACGGGTACAATTTGTTGTAAGTTATGGTTTAGTTTTTCATCCAAGGGCCTAGCAGAAGCTAAGCAATCTTTTAGTGTCAGAGTCTCCTCCTCAGAGCAGACTGCTGACTGCAGAATCAGAATAGAATCGCTCGACTCCTCAGTACAGGACAGGACGGGACCGACGGGACTCAGCAGTCAGCAGGAACAACAAGCACGGCCGCCTTTAACCACGGCCTCCTTTAACCGGTGCGCCACACGGTAGATTTCTAAGGTGCCGTTTGACGTCACTATTTGCTGACGTCACTAACTGCTGCGTCGGAAGAGGCAGAAGAACAAGAACGAGACCGAGACGTTAGGAGTCGCTATTAGCGAGCGACTCCAATAGCGACTCCTCCGAGGAGGAGAGACTGAGAGACACGGTTTGACTTGACTGACTCTGACTGACAGCTACCTTACCTACATTTGACTGTTTAGTGTTTATCATTGTGGCTTTACTTTTCGCGACCGATGCTGCAGTATAAAAACATAAACACCTGTTTATTCAAGTATTTTATAATCTTCCTACAGTTAAAGTAGCTTTTCTTTCCAAGCCATTGTGTTTGTGTTTGCGTTTGCCACACCGGCGAGTAAAATCCTTCATCAATCATCCTTCCTTAGTGGTAAGTACCTATTATTTAGAAGAAGCCAAGCGTAAGAAATTAGTGCTCTGTTTCAGTAAAGTTTGATGTAATAATTAAACTAAACTTAGTTTAATTATTGACATTTCCTTGTCAATTATTAAATTGCAAATTAGTAAACGGCCAAGTAAAAGTTTAAGGGTGACTCAGTAATTAGGCCTAAGGGGTACAGTTTCTTAACTGGGCTACGCTAATATCGATTGAAACAATCGATTCGATTAGTAAGTTTTCATGCGATTTTTTCACCATCAACAAGTTTGGTTGGTTAGGTTATGATAGATTAATTTTATAATAGATATACTGTGTTTTGAAATATCGATTATTCATCAATATTTCAATTCGATAGTTCCAATCGATATTAGCATAGCCCAGTTAAGAAACTGTACCCGGCCTGAGTACTGTAAAATAATGTAGGCCCCTACATAGTTTTTTATTACCTATTAATTATTATTTAAACGCAATCCATCAGACTAGTTCTGTCAAAGATGAAGAACTCGAGTACGGTATTCAAGTGAGTAAGTTAAGTACCTAAGTATTCAGTCTTAGCTTAAAATGGAAAGGAATAGGCTAGGCGAAAGCTAACTGTAACTTACTTCTTCATCTGAGGCACACTCCTTAACCTCCCTCATTTACAGTAGGCCTACCACGTTGTAATATAATAAGGTCCACATTTTACTAGCTAAGACGCCGAACGAATCACCCGGTTGCATATTAAGGTCAATATGAATGTACAATGAGCATCAGCAGAGCATACTTGGAAGTCTAACTTATGTCCATGAAGTTACCATAGGTTAATTACCCATATTAGGTAGGCCTACCGTTTTTAGGTTAGTTACCCATATTGGCTACTGGTAAGTTATTGTAGCCTAGTAGCGTATGAAGTGCATTAACTTAATGTAAAAAAAGTTATAAGGCATTAAAAAGTTAGCCTATGTGACTACGCTACCTTTCCCCTTTTTATTTTGGAGAACTAAGTTATTTAAGTTATCAACAATATTGGAGAGTTAACGAAGAACAGGGAACAAAGAATGGAGCGATTGCTATTTAGATGTAACTTAGGCATTTTTCATCATAAAACGTTCTGCGCTAGAAACTGGAAGTGTGAAGTTAAGTTAGCGTACTCATTTATTATCATCTATTATAAGTTAAATTAACTTATTTATTTAATGAGGACTAATAAAAATATTGGGGAACTATCTAGAACTAACAATTCCTAACTTATGAACCAAAGTGGATACGCTAATATGAGTACCTACGCTAACTTCACGGACCTTAAAAGTCTTGTTAAGCTACTGGTTTTTTTGTACCGACCTATTAACTGACATGGGTAAATTTAATAAGACTGACTTTATCTTATTTATGTTAGGTTTAAATTGATTGTTTACTGTATTTAGGCATATCTACGAAACTGTTCATGTTGTATATGTAGTCTTAAGCTTCAATTCAATTTATGTGTGGTTGCAGGATATCAGTAGGCCTATCAATCAGCATTCATCATTTTCCTCAGATAATAAGTAGGTAGGCCTACTGTAGGCTTAGGCGTATATTGGATCAAGAGTGGTCAGGCTATTGTAATGGGAAACTAATACTGTACAGTTTTTCTTAACTAAAAGATTTCTGATTTCTTATCCTAACTAGAATACCATACTTCATTTGTCTCCAAAAGATATTCAAATTGAAGATCACTTAGACATACGTATTTAATTTTAAAATTAAATTAGTGGGTGAAAACATTGTTGGTTGAATTTACAAACTGAAATAAAAAAAAGGCCTATTTTTAGTAGGCCAAAAATATTTTTTTCAAACTTTTTTTATTGCTAATGCAAGCAAGTTAGACAAATTACTATGCATATTTGCAAGATCTGTCTCGCATATTGAGTATATGGATGCGCCAATATAGTAGGGCCAGTCGCTTGTTATTTGACCAGCGCTACATCATGATGAAAAATTATTATTTACTGTACGGAAAAAAAGGCCAGGATCATCATAATGGTTTCTTGAAAACCTGTCTACCAGCATATTTTATTGAAGCAATATCAACATTTGACTGTTTATCATTGTGGCTTTACTTTTCGCGACCGATGCTACAGTATAAAAACATAAACACCTGTTTATTCAAGTATTTTATAAATTATTACTTATCAGTAGCCTAAGTAAGTTAGATGAATTCTGAGCACACGCACAGTGGACTCACTGGCATCCCACTCACAACTGACATGGAACTGGTGCTACAGTGTGGAGAACAAATTTAAAGGCGTTATACATAAGTTTTTTTGAGTGAACCAAGACCTTACTGGGGACATGTTACCGGCGTTACAATTCCAATAAATAATGTCTTGTTAAGGATATTTTGTCTTTAACAACATAATATATTGTAAATATATTATTTCTGTATGTAGCCTAACTATTAATATCATATGTTTTTTGCAGGGTCTGAGTATCCAAGATACGTGCCTGATGCCACCAACTGAGGTTCGAAGAGATTTCTATTGTCTAACTTGAGACTTGGGCTTGAATTAAGTGGTTGTATGGCGGTTCTTGCATGTACTTCTTTCTTCTGTTCAGTATTTATCTTTTTTCTGCATGGTATTTAGTGTTTTCTGCATGGTGTTTGTGCATGTTTTTCTTTTTATTTACTTGGACTGTATTGTAAGTCAAGATGACCCAAGAGGATCGTTGTTAATTTGTTATTTTTTGACGTGCTACGTATATCATATTCAACAATGGATGCTATTGACAAGTCTATTGAAATTCAAAATGAAGGAAAAGTTAAGTGTAGTTTTTGTAGTAAACACTTTTCTCAGAAGAAAAGTTGTAATCGCCATGAAAAGATTTGCAAGAACAATATAAATAGAACTGAAAATAAATTTTCATGTCCCATCTGCCTAGTGACCTTCAGTCGAAAAGATAATTTAAAAGTTCACGTTACATCTTGTTCAAATGTCGAAAACAAGGAAGAACCTTCAAAAAAACTGAAAACTCCTTGTATGATCCCAGAATGTAACAAACAATTTTTTCATAAACTAAGATTAATTGAACATCTTCAAACTGCTCATAGTGACCTAATAAAAGTAAAGCCCCCAATTAAACTTGAGTTTAGCAGTGAAGAAGAATTTTTAAAATGGAAAGACAATGAAGAAGAAAGAACTTTTTCTTTTTTTAGCAAAAAAAATTGCCTATCGGGGTTCACAACAACTTTTTACTGCCAGCATGATGGGGCAGCCAAAGTCCACACCCCCAGGAAAACAAGTAGGAGAAACTCAAAAGGAAGAGTAAAGATTGGACACTTTTGCATTGCCCAGATGAAGGTTTGCAGGAATAATTTAACGGATCTAGTTAGTGTAATTTATCATCCGACACATAGCCACGTGTGCAGTCCCCAGGACTACCTTCACCATCCCTTACCTCAAGATTTAAGCTCATTTATAAATTGTCAGCTAGGAGAAGAAGTTTCTCCTTCCAAGATCTTTAATAAAGTCAAAAACATAAATATTGACAAGAGTAGAGATGTGCAGACACAAAAAGTGAACATTCTCACCAAGAAAAGAATCAGGGAGAGAGCACGAAGGCAACGGATGGCACAAAGACTCCATGAAGATGACGCAAAATCTGTCTACTTAATGGCCAGTGAAATGGTATCTAAAGAAAACTCGGTCGTCATTTATAAGCCTTATGGAGCAGATGTGGTGTATGGCCCAGAAGATGTCAACAACCTCCCTTACTCAATGGAAATTTTCATGTTTGGCTTCCAAACTCCCAGACAATTACAGTTGATGAAAGACCATTGCAACAAAATTTTAATCGTAGACGAAACTCATGGAACCAACCAGTATTCCTATAAGTTGCTGACATGCATGGTAGTTGATGACAACAGAAGAGGCTGGCCAGTAGCCCATTTGGTTACAAACAAATCAGATGCTGCCACACTACAATTTTTCTTTAAGGGTCTTAGTGAAAGAATTGAAGATCCAAGTCGCATCAATTGTGTCATTACTGATGATGACAGTGCCATTATCAATGGCATTGAAGCAGGTTTTTCTTCTCCTATGCGCCACCTACTATGCCGTTGGCATGTAATTAAAAACTTAAAGGATAATGTAAGAACCAAAGTCCCTAAAGATCTGTTTGAGGATGTATTTAGTGAAATAAGAGTTCTAATGAACATTGAAGACCTCAATATGTTTGAAGATTTGTGTGAAGGGTTCTTAAAAAAGTACGAAGAAAAAGATAAAACTGCAAAGTTCATAACTTATTTCAGACAGCACTATCTGAACCGAACAGAAAAATGGGCAATGTGCCACCGGAACTTCCCCCATGCTCAGGTAAACACAACAGGTCATGTAGAGTCCTTCCATAATAAGTTTAAAAAAATGTACCTCAAAAGGAGAGTTAACAAAAGGTTGGATGACCTCATAACAATGCTGCGCAACCTAGAATGGGAAGACCATTGTAACCGCCAACGAGAAGCTTTGGTGGGATTTTCACCAATCCCTCAACATATTGGGGAACGCCACCAGAAGTCACTGGCTATACCTGATGAAGCCTTGGTGGAAATCTTGGCCAATACATGGGAAATAAAATCCCAGACAAAAGAAAGCGAAGTGTATGTGATAGTATGTTACAGTAATACATGCTATGAAGACTACTGTTTTGTCAAGTGCACTCAAGTACAGTGTGATGGCCTCTGCTCACATTTATATACTTGTACTTGCCCTGACCAGCATTCACTGTGCAAACATATACACAAATTGCATTCCTATCTTCGTAGAGGAAAAGCCTTCTCCACAACTTTTTGTAGCTTTGAAGAGAGTTTTCAACCAATTGAAGATCAGGCTGATCTAGATAAAAGATCAACTACTGAGAACATGGCTGCTAGGAAGTCAAGCTCTCTACTGGCCAAAATAGAGCAGAACTTATCTACTCTTTCACAGTTCCAGATGTCTGCAATAGACAATAAAGTCAGTGAACAAACATTGAGGCATGTAAATTATACACTGACCAACTTAGTTAATCACATTCAGATGTCGGATGGTAAAAGTCAACTTGTAAACGTAAATGAGATGAAAGCTGCGGTTAAGTTCAATTCGCAAGAGAAACTCAAGACCCAAGTATCCCAACTTTTATCATTTAAGAGGCCAGTTAGTAAAAGGAAAAGGAAACCTGCAGACTGTAAAGAGAAGAAAGAAACTGTCATAAAAAATCTTCTTGATTTTTTGCCCTAGTCCCATTGTCCCCAAGAAGATTTTGAGGGTTGAAGCTAAGTTTAAGGGTAAGTTGACGAATTACTAATTTAAATATACTTACTAATTGTGACATAACACAGTTGGCCTAATATCCTGAATAATTTATATGGACACATCTGTCAAATGCCGAGCTCTCATTGGTCTAGATCCAATAATGTAAAGTGACCCCCGTAATGTAATGTTAACATTACCTAACTGGTTTGTTTTTGGTTTTGTAATGTTCTTTGTGATCTTACTTGCAATATCATTATTAGTCTGGTCGTAGATAAAATAATTTTTAATTAAAGGCCAACATTAAGAAATGGCAACCTAGATTTTCGTGGACATTTGCCATAAAGGATTAGTAAAAACAAAATTTACCGTACTACACTCTGTTTTTACTACATTGTGATGGCAAATGTCCGCAAAAATCCTAATTGGCCTATAATATCCTTGATTTGTTTGTAAATTAGGCCTTAATTATTTTCATTTTGTAAGCAAACATGTCCTGTGTTTTTTAATGTAATTTTAAGAACAGTCCTTTAGTTAGGTGACAATATAACTTATCTTTAACAAGTTCAGGGCTGATACAGTCATACAGTAATACTATACTTATGGCAACAAAATGATAAAGGCTTTGTAATACCATACTCTTGTCTGCCAGATATTTAAGGCTTGCCAGATTTTGACTCTATGTAATGTATTTTTATTTCAGTGTCTTTTAGCAATTACGTCAATTGAGCATGTTTATACTCACAGCTCAGATCTGTTCAACTATTCCACTAGATATTGTGGCAATCTGCATGTACCTATCTAGATGCTACCTGAAGTAATGTGACAAACAATCCCAGGTCTGTGTCCAACAGAGTAGAGGGGTTTTTTTAGTGAGTAGTCTGACAAGCTCAGGAGTCTCACACTACAGGCTGGCTACCTGTGTGCGTAAAAGCATTTTTACCTCCTCTCCCTTATAAAAAAAAAAAAAAAAGATGCAGGGTTGACAAAGTAGCCTACTGGAATGTTTGTATGTTGCAGGTGTCAGATTTTATAATAGGATAGCAATTAAGTTAAGACGGCTGCCAAGTCCAAAATTTGTTAAATTGTTAAAACCTGGCTTCTAGAAAATCCTTTCTAGGCTATAGCCTGAGTGAGTACAGTATAATGAAACTGATTTCTCACTGATGACAATTGGACTTGTATAAAGTAATTATATAGCAGCCTGTTCTTGCATGTTAGGTATCAATTTTTTTTTACTTATTTTTTTGATATGTTTTAATGTTTTTCTGCATGGTGTTTGTGCATGTTTTCTTTTTTAGCGAATTTCCCATATAGGGAATAAGCTATTACCGTAGTACTCATGGTAAGACCTGGACCCGGGACCGATTTACTTTTTTGTTTTGAGGTCCCAGAGGCCAAAAAACACCATTAGATCAAATTCATTTCCATGTTATTCTTATGGAATAAAATTAAACTGTTGTAGTTTACTTGTTTATGGATATATGTTATAAAATTTGGCAAATTTATTTCTTTCATCCTATAATAATGATGTGTGATCAAAAAACACTTTTTACCTTCCCAGTAGCAGCAAACCTAAGCACTCGTTAAATCTAGGGGATAAATGTGTCTTATTTATGGAAACTTTTTGTAAAAACGTTATCAGACAAGTTGAAATTCGCTTAGTCTGCAGGTTTGCTGCGGCGGGGGTATTATTAACTTGGACTGATTGTGTACATCAAGAGTGCCAAAGAGGATTATTATTTGTTAATTTTTGACCTAGCCTAATTACTTGCATGTTGAATGGCCTGATAAAATTTTGATTTTGAACATGTCTGTTGTGTAGGCTAATATGAGCGAAGTCAGTCAGTCAGTCAATTTGCTACACTTAACACGTTCCCTCCCAAGCTACAGGTCACTGTGCCTGCTGGTAGTCAATGTGTTAAAGAATATTTTTTCTCAGTTTTTACTGAAATGTATATAAAATCATTAAAGATGTATATGTCTGACAAGGGGACTATTAATTCTTTTTTGTTTCAGGTCATGGCCTAATTTTCGTTTGACACATATGCTTGGATACTTGGATTATGCTTGGTTCCACTGAAATTGTAACTACGACGTGGTAGATAGCTTTTCCTTTTTGGCGGGTTTTAGCCGCAATGAAGAGGTTCATCATATCATGCGCTTCATAAAGAAAATTAATCCTTTTATTTGTAATTTCACCATATTCAGTTCTTGAGTTATACTTCTTGGTTAAAGGATGTACAATTTGACACTGCAATAGTATGGTAATTTACTGGAAGTTATATGTATGTATAATTTATAATGCACATGTTGTGTATTCTATTAATTCATGTTTTTGAATTATAAACTAACTGTAGTATAAAGGACTGCTATACTTGTGTTTATTTTTTCCTTGAAAAGGTATCATATTGCGATCCAGTCCAATTTAGGGCCGAATTTACTGATGTTGAGGCCCAAAGCCAAGCATCTAATGTTTGTATTTAATTACTTAATTATATTTACTTCAGAATTGACATGATAATAATACTATAATAAACTTTTCAAATTTAGAAGATGTTTTCATTCTCAGTTTGATATTTTTGTCAACTGGTTACTAAAGAAATACTGAATTTGAACCTTATATCACTTGCTCTCAATCGAAAGTAATTTAATCTGGTACTGAGTTTAATTATTCTTGCCTCGAATCAGTTTTTAAATCAAATTCTTTAAGCAGAAAATTGGTACCTGTGTTAGAATGCAAAAAGGATTTAGAAAATCACAAGATAAGCTCATTTATGATAGAATGTTTTTTATCTCTTTTCTACCAAAATATGAAATTCTTGAGCTCTCTAAAGAAGGGAAATACTTTATAGTTTTTATACTTTTCAATGAAACTGTGACCATACGGTATTTTTAGCCAAGTATGAATGGAGATGAGTGTAGAATGATTGACACAATCTTGTAGTCTTGTTAGTGACTAAGGCCGACATTCTTAGACACAGCTATTAACTAATAGCCCATACAGCTAATGGCAACTAAGGGACGGCCTACAGTTTATAGTGGAATCCGAACCAAATTTTTGCCTTGGTAATTGGCGTAATTATCAGGATAGTACTGCGGATAGTCGTAGTACTCACTTGTGCGGATGTTAATCCACACCAGGGAGTATCGCATCCACGGTGCTTGCCTATTAATATCCAAAGGACGTCACCAACCGTCCCATAATGTAAATTTTTTTTAACCAAAAAAGCTCCTCTTCCTCCAATTCAAAGGTATCAAAAGAGATGTTTGCACAATTTTGTTTTTATTTCCTTTTGAGTCAATCTGGTATGTAATAGAGTGATAGGCATAGGCTTTTGATGTTGACAAATAGAATTACAACAGAAGCAGCTACATAAATGTTTCTTATCTTAACAATGTTGCAGACAACTATAAGAAGAAGGCAACCAAGGACATAGCTGTTGCTTGAAAGTTTTTTTAATTGTTTAGTTTAAGGTATAAGGTGATAACCTGGATAAGGTGCGGGATATGAACATCACCTCTTTCAAAGCAGCCATCAGAAATAGCTTGGTAGATAGGCCACTGTACTCGGGTGAAGAGCCCCTAAAAGTTATTAAAAGCCCTTCCTTAAAAAATGGGGAACACGTTTTATTTACCGCCACAGCCTGATTAAGTTTATATGTATGTAAATAGTAGTGTTTATTTTTAAACGTATATATAATAACGCAGTCTATCCGACATTGTCCAGCACACAAGTATCAAGTAAGTTTAAAAAGGTTGACGATTCAACTTGCTCATGAAGTATGTAGGCTTTCAGTGGTGGATAGTTGTACTAAAATCTTACCATTAAAATCTGACAAACAGCCAGCTTATATACCTAAAACATGGGATATGGCAATGAATTTATCCATGAATCTATCCACTAGTGTGACGTCATGGGTCCTGCCTTTGCTTTATGTCAACGACCGTCCAATATAAAAATCAGAGTGGTTGAGGCTGATTCGCTGGTAATCATTTGATGGTTAACTTAGATATTTTTATTTCTCAATCCAGAAACCCAGGTAGGCCTATGTTAAGTTTACAACTGCATGATCTAAATAATTTTTAGTTACTCTTAGATGGGATAACCGAATGGTTTCCATGACCGAATAATCAATCAGTTATTTTTAGTTGAATGAATCGCCAAATCAATTTTAGTCATTATTCACTGTCACAAAGCACAACTACCGGTAATTTTTATCTTATGGGAAACTGAATGCCATTTAGTCTTTTAGCGTCAATCGGTGATTTTTAGTTGAACGAATCGCCGAATAAATTTTAGTTTCCTGATGATGTGACAAACTGAATAACTAAATCACCGAATCGCTCGGTAAGACTAATTTAACCGAACCAGGATAAAATAACCGAATTAGTCTATTCAGCATCAATAACCGATTGATTCGGTTATTTTCATTCGGTGATTCCCACCACTAGCCTATAACTTAGTATCTAATAGCATCTAATTGACGTTTCATGTATTCTTCCTTGTGTTATTAAAAATACTCAACTATTGATCTGAATGACAATAGAGAACGTATTAAAATAAATGGACTTAATTTTACAACAACGAACATGCAAAACTTTCCAGTGCAGTTCCCCACTGGTTTCGTCTTCGTCCGAGTTGCGAGTTCCGATCCGACTCAAGACTCGACTCAAGCTCGACGCTCGCGCCGACTCCGAATCGGTGTCGGCGTGGAACGGTGACGCAAGCAGTTAGTGACGTCAAACGGCACCTTAGAAATCTTCCGTGTGGCGCACCGCTCCTTCAACTACCAACAAGCGTCTACAGCCTGACTGATCACCTATTGCAAACGAAAAAAACTGGCCAGTAGCCAGTGAAGAAGAAGAATCAATTTTTGTCTGCTTGATTTTATGACGTAGACGTGACGTATCGTTCTAGCTGTCGGCTCGGCTGTGTTTTGGTTAAGCTGTTTGTTTCCAAGTTTCCATTACATCAATCAATTCTTAGTGTAGTGTAGTTATTTTGTTTTTATCAATTTCATTGCAATTATTCATTTTGTTTCCATGTAATGATTAAAAAGAAGTTATTTTTCTTGTGATATTTATTTATGATCGCTGGACATGTAGATGTTGTGATTTTACGTTTTGTTATCCTATTGTGTAGTCTTTTGTAAAATATTAATCTTGTGGGTAGTGTTATAAATTTTTACTGTATAAATTAAAATCCATTTCTGTGAATAAATAGCATGTTTACTAAACTTTATAAAACGTACTTTTATCCTTTTGTAATTTTGCCCCTTTAACTTAATGTTTTTTAGTGTATACCTAAATGCCTACTCAATTTTTACATTTTATTCCCAATGAAAATTAAAAGAAACCATTAGGCCTATATCTATCATGGTTAACCTTCCGGCCAAGCCTATTAATTCTTGTTCCTAAGCATTCTTTTACACTCCATAGCAAATATCCAAAAAAAATTAAATGGCTGTTGAGTCTTTCACCATAGGCAATGCTATTTAACTTACATGAATGCAGGCTACATACAATGAAAGTGCAATAGATGAAACTCGTGAGAGAACGTAAACTTAGTAAAATTTTTGGGTAGACTTCCGTAGGCTATCTGTTGGCACAATCAACCGAATGAAAATATCGATTAAGTTATTCAATTGTTTCATTCGATATTATTTTCCTGTTTAAGGGAACATTCATTATTATCGATGATTTCTTTTCGAGGGTAGACTTCCATATCTGTTGGCACAAACAACCGAATGAAAATATCGATTATTCGATTGTTTCATTCGATATAGGTATCAATTGATATTTTCATTCCGGTTGTTTGTGCCAACAACAGATATGGAAGTCTACGCCTTTTCGATATATCGATATATTTTTTCTATCCGATATATTGATTAAGATAACAAATTAAAAAATATCAGTTGACATCTACAATAAGGATACAGTAGGTCTAAATAAATATTGTTCAGTATCAACAAACAATTAAAAAAATATTAAGTTATAATAAAATAAAACTGTTTTAAACTAACCTAACAAACCAAACTTGCTGTAACATTTCAACATTCCGTTTGATAGCCTATTCCTATGGGCTATCATTTTTGCCTAAACAAGGTGAGTTCTTTTGTAATTTAAATGAGTTTTAAATGACCACAACCTTAAAAATGTAATAAAATACAGTACATAACATAATAGATTGTTCAAGTTTTATCCTGATTGAAGAAGCTGGTATGCAACCAAGCTTAAGGAAAATCCCTGAAATGTCAAAGCTTCATGCACAAAACTTAAACATTGCAACACAATTTTAACAAGTTTTATTTCAGTTTTAATGTAATGTACCACAGAAGATTTTACTTTATGCATTCAAAAAACGTAAATTCATATTTAAGATTTCCTTCATGCAAAACCTTATATAAGGCGCTTTGTGGAATCTTCATGCAATGATTTTCATCATCTGTGTTACTTTGCCAACCCTTTTCACAACATTCTACCACAGAAGGATTTAATGTAGAAACATATAAAACCTCATTTTTTTCAATCTTAACTCTTAAAAGATATTCATTTTTCAACTTGCCAATTGGTGTTGCTTCAAAGGTAAATTTAAAATGTTCCCGGTCTAAATTATAAGTTAGGGTAATCCAGAATATCTTGTCAAACTTGGATATGAGAAGATGTTCAGTTTGGTATGTCTCAGGATTAAAGCTGTGCAAAGTAAACTTCATAGATGACTTTGCTCCGTATTTAAAGATTTTCTTACAATGTTCTTTCTCATAGTGATCCATCAGTTTTATCAAAGGAGTCACAGTGTTACAATCGGTTTGCCTACACTCCGCAGGTCTGAAGCCACAAAATTCCTCATGGTCACTCCCGGGCTCCAGAGTGTCTTGACAACCATCTTCATGGTACTTGCACTGACGAGGAAGGGCTTCCTTTTTTAAACACACAGGATTCTCTGTTGTAAATGGACCTTTGCATGTTGGGCAGTCATTTAACTTCTCGCAGCAGCTGTTGCAAACCCCATGGCCTCTGCTGCATTTCTTAAATGGAATTTGGATTGTGTCCAGACACACTGGACATTCTACAATCTTTTTAAAAGATAACGAGAGGTTCTTCAGTGAATTTTTTAAATTTTCCTGAAAATAAAATTTAAATCATGAATGAACAAATAGTTTATTCCACATCAAATGGTAACATACAAATATATTTAGAAAAAAGAGGAAAGTGGTTTTACCGCCAACAAATTATACTCACTCACAACCAATGGAAAGAAGTTCACCAAAATATCATCCTAATGCTCCTCCAATGCTGTCATACAACCCGATCGACATGGAAGTTGAAATGTAACAAATTATGTGGATTACTGTAGGTATTTATG